TCCATTGTGGCTGTCGAGACGACTTCTAGTTGACAGAAATTCACTGTTTGAACAGATTTTTTTTAATTGGCTTAAGTCATAAATTGCCTCAGGTGTTATGTTGAATTTGAACTTCAACAAATACAAATTCAAAGAACAGGATTGTAGTAGTTGTAAATGTGCAACTTCAATTGTTGCAAATTGTTTCTGGAGAACCTGCAACTGGCAAATGAGTCCATCCAGCTGAAGAGCTGCATTAGCAGCTGCATGTTTGACCTGCAGCTGCAAGGCCACACATGAAGTCCAGTTAGCTGCCAGAGGTGGAGGGCTGTCCAGCAAATGGATTCAGTCGGTATCTCAACTCACCAGTAGGATTTGTGAAACAGCTGTGTCATCTGGATTGTCTCTCTCCATCTGCCAGTGGCCTTAAGAATGACTACAACAAGGAAACGTTCACCTTAAAGCACAAGATCGACGAGCAGATGTTCCCCTGCAGATTTGTCAAAATAGGTGAGAGCAGTTTGGCACACTTTGTGTTGTCATGTGTTTGTTGCTGTTAACACTTGTTTGTTTCACTTCAGTGCCTCTGATGTCTTGGGGTCCGAGTTTCAACTTCAGCATCTGGTACATTGAGCTGCATGGAATTGAAGACCCAGATGTGGTGCAGCCCTGCCTTAACTGGTATAGCAAGGTAGGCCTCACCTGGATGTTAGAGGGGGGGGGCAGAGGTGGAAGGGTGGATTCCTGCGTAATATCAGCCTGAATGAAAACTTCTGGGACGTCAGAGGTGCTGATTACAAGATGAAGTTTGGAGACCCACAAACTCAGTTTGTCTCTGGGACAGTTTCTTTAATTGCATTCACATTTTTCTAGTTTCACTTCTGTCTTAACTTCATGTGTTGGATTCCATGTAATTTATAAATATCATAGTTTATTACTTAATTACAAAAGATAGTTTGGCCTCTGTGGATTTTAGGCCACGCCTTTCAAATGTAAACAAAGAAAAACTTGCTTTTATCTGCTGATTTGAGTTTAGGCTTAAACTTATGTTCTAATCCTGTAAAGGCAAAGAGCTGCAGTTTCTTTTGGTTTTTCCTGCTGGTTGTCTGTCTCTGGACATTTCCCGTGATGTCTCCAGTGTCGGTTGTCGCCATTTGCTTCCACGCACATTAGCAGACTCATTGCAGTTTGCGTTTTGTTAGGACTTTAGATATTTTACATGAGACAAATGAACTTTTTCTCAGTCCTCCTCCTCCTTTGACGGCTTAGCAGAGCCGAGCTGGCAGCCTCCTTTACTTTTGTTGTCTTAAAATATCTCCAGACTGCTGACAATTCTCGTCGTCCGCCTACCTGCTCACATAAGTTAATGTTGCAGTAAAGTGGCATCGTGTGGTCTCTGTTGTACACGTGTTGCTAGCTTAATCAGTAACTTGCATATGATGGAGCCGACATTATAACCGTGCTTCTCACGACCATCATTTCTTGTATATTTTACTACAACATGAAGAATATAAAAAACTGTACCTGCTACTGTTCACGTTAACCAGCAGCAGCCGTGTTCTGATCAGGGAGGTTCCTGGAAAC